GACTTATCCATTGCTATATCCCAGCAGTGCCTGCATACAATAGGGGTTGCAATAAATATTTGCTGGATAAATTAATATACAAAAGAACTTTCCTAGTATCCTCAATTTTTCAGGCCACTATGCTGAATGCTATACAATATTGTCTCTGCCCTATTATCCTATTAAGGTAAATAATGTATGCTTTGTTCAAGAATGCTCAAAGTTCAATATCATACACTTTTTTTTTTTTTGAAATGGAGTCTCATTCTGTCACCCAGGCTGGAGTGCAGTGGCAGCATCTTGGCTCACTGCAACCTCTACCACCTGGGTTCAAGCAATTCTCCTGCCTCAGCCTCCTGAGTGGCTGGGACTACAGGCATGTACCACCACACCCTGATAATTTTTGTATTTTTAGTAGAGACAGAGTTTCACCATGTTGGCCCAGCTGGTCTCGAACTCCTGACCTCAGATGATCAGCTTGCGTTGGCATCCCAAAGTGCTGGGATTACAGGCATGAGTCTCATACACTTATTAATTCTATAAATCTTCTTAATTTGGCAAAGTATAAGACCATGTAAGAGACTGAGCTTTTATGATGTTTCTGATTCCTATACTTAGAAGACATAAATGAAATTTGTAGAGTTAGAATGACATATAGGGAAGTGCCTTGTTTGGAATCAGAGGAACTGTCACAGACAGGCTCTGGGTCAGTGGACAATTACCTTCTGAGCCTTAGTTTACTCTCAGGAATAAAATCAATTTACCTTTAGGGATACTGTCATAATCTGATTTGTGCTGCTATAACAGAATACTGCAGACTGGGTAATTTTAAGTGAATAAAAATTTATGTCCTAATAGTTCTATAGGTAGGGAAGTTCAAGATCAAGGTACCAGCATCTGATGAGGGCCTTATTCTTATGACATTCCATGGCAGAAAAGCAAGAAAGCTTGAGAGACAGAGAGAAACAAATGAGGTGCCAAACTAGTCCTTTTATGAGGAACCTGCTCCTGCAATAATGAACCCACTCCCACCATAATGTTAAAACATTTGTAAGAGCCTTCATGGCCCAGGCACCTCTTAGATGTTCCACCTATTAGTACCGCTACAATGGCAATTAAATTTCAACATGACTTTTGGAGTGGACATTCAAACCATAGCAGATACCTACCCAACAATAACTACAGGGATGTTGTGAGACCTAAGAAATAAAGCAAACTGGCCTGGCAGTGACTCATACCTGTAATCCCCACACTTTGGGAGGCCGAGGCAGGCAGATCACTTGAGCTCAGGAGTTCAGGAGCAGCCTGGGCAACATGGTGAAACCCTGTGTCAACAAAAAATTATTAAAAATTAGCAGGCTGGGTGTAGTGGCCCATGCCTGTAATCCCAGCACTTTGGGAGGCATAGGCAGGTAGATCATGAGGTCAAGAGGTTGAGACCATCCTAGCCAACATGGTTAAACCCTGTCTCTACTAAAAATACAAAAATTAGCTGGGCATGGTGGTACACGCCTATAGTCCCAGCTACTTAGAAGGCTGAGGCAGGAGAATCATTTGAGGTGGAGGTTTCAGTGAGCCAAGATCACACCACCACACTCCAAGCCTGACAACAGAGTGAGACTCCGTCTCAAAAAAACAATTAGCTGGGCATGGTGGTGCATCTGTGGTCCCTGCTATTTGGGAGGCTGAGGCAGGAGAATCGCTTGAGTGCCACTGCACTCCAGCCTGGGCAATGGGAATGATACTCTGTCTCAAAAAATAAAATAAATAGATAAATAAATAATAAAACTAATTATAAACAACATTTACTGGTCATTTGGTACCAGAATAAATCCTTTACATTTATTATTAACATAAACCACACAATTCTATATGGTTTATGTTAAGAATAAATGTAAAGGATTTAGTAAGTATTTAGCAGTATGTAATTATTATTTTGTATATATGGTAACTGAGACATGGAGTGATGATGGAACTTAACCACGGTCACATGACATGTAAGTGGTGGCATAGCCAAGGTTCAAAACCCATAATCTGTGCTCTCACCCATTATGTTTAACGTTTTCCATACAGTAAATAGTTTTTCAAGGATGATTTGCCAAGAATGCTTCGGCCAAGAAGTTCTTGCGGCAATAATCAGAAGTTGTAAGGTTCTGCCTTTCCTAAACTCAACTCATGCCTACTAAACCTAAAGCCAACTACTGGTATTCTTGATAGCTGCATCTGATTCCCAGCAAAGTCATGAGACTAAAATGCAATGCTGAGTCATCCTGTATGTCCCACGTTCTGCATAGTGTGCTTTACTTGGCAATGATTCCCTTGCTTTGCTTTAGCCAAACTGATTTTTTAAAAAGCTGACATTGCACAAGTCTGAAAAGGACTTTTTGAATTCCTATACATCAATCATTTTTAGAAAGAATAAGTACAAATCAAAAGAATTAATTTTAATCCATCTAATAAATAAAGAGGGCCTTAGCCAGGGTTAGGGGGAAATCTGTACCAGCAGTGTTCTAAGGAAGAATAGATATTTCAGCACTCTTTGACTACTTGTTGATGCATTTAGAATAAGCCAGTGTCTGAGAGAGCATTCTGTATCAGGATGGAACTTAACTGCCTTCTAAAATTATAATACATATTTAATCTCTTATTGGCTTTCTTTAGAAAGGACTTGTTATCAATAATTTCTTCATTGTGCTGAGAAATAATTTAAAAATTATGGATATGACCATGGTATCTAGGGGTTTTCTTACATTTTTTGGCTCTGGCAGAAAAAAATTGTAATTTAAGAAAAATCTTTCAACTTTTGCCAATTTGGGGTCTGAAAAATATGAATATAATTAATGTAAAAAGTCTGGATAATTCTGACAAAAAATGCATATCTTTTATCCTCAGCAGAGTTATGTGATTTATGAGGGTCACCCATATTATAAAAAAAATTTTTTTTAAGTAGAGACAGGGGTTTCACCATGTTGCCAAGGCCGGTCTTGAACTCCTTGGCCTCAAGTGATCTGCCTTCCTCGGTCTCCCAATGTGCTGGGATAACAGGCATGAGACACTGTGCCCCCACCAAGAAATGTTTTTAAATATGCTTTGTTTTTATAAAATTTGGGTTGGTATTGGTGGGTTTCATTAAGCAGTATTTCAAAAGTAACCATTGTTCATATTGCCACTGGTCTCATCAGAAAGATTCCAAAAAAGTCTCTAAATATTGGGAAGCTGTCAAGCTCATAGGGAGGATGTAAATTTTCCAAAATTCTAATTTTCACTTAAAAATTCAAATTTTATCACTGGCAAACAATACTATTCAGTTGTGTTCCTTGAAATGACAGAATACTTGCTTCATTTTATGAGATAAAATGATATGATGTTCTGGTTATAAGTTTAGTTCACTACAACATTTGGTGTTAATGGCCCTCAAAGCTGAAAAAGATCCTGCAGAGAAGTATGGATTCAAATGAAAGGGTTAGTTTCATTTCCTAAATCAGAGTATCAATTTTCCAGTCCATTCACTAATTTAAAAGATATGTTAATTACCCTGATCTAATCACTATACATTGTATATACTGAAACATCATTATGTACCCCATGAAGATGAACAATTATTATTTGTCCAGTTATAAAAGGAAAACTAAAAAAGAAAGAAGAGCAAAAATGGGAGGTTTTTGTTTAAGTAATAAATGTATATCGTCTTTGATGTAAATAAATTATTCTTGGAAGTAATCAAAGTTTTCACATTTCCATAAATAGGTTCAAAACTAACTTTCTGAAAGATTTAAAAATAGAGCAGATAATCTTCAAGAAGAAGAGTTTTATAGATGGACAGACATCCTTTTTGACAACAAACTCTTACAATGATGGAAATATTTCCAAACATCTGTTGTCAAAATGCCTTTTATCCTGGTCTTCAAAATGCGGGTATAGATTTTCTCACTCATTGTAAAATGTTCCCTTTTCCTGAAAGTGATACATTAAATGTGCTTTTGTATATACATTTATTTTGTTTCTCATTTTTATTTCCATATAACCACTATGAAAGAGTTTTGCAGTGTTATAAAAAAAGTTAAATATTATATATACCTATTATACTACGATTCTACTCCTAGGTATTTACCTAAGAGAAATTAAAGCTTAAGTCCATGCAAATACTTGTATGTAAATGTTCTTAACCACTTTATTTGTGTTGAGCAAAAATTAGAAACAACCCAAATGTCTGTCAACAGGTGAACTGATCATGCTTTGGCCATACAGTGAAACATGTCTTAGTAACAAAGATCTAAGTAACAAAAAGGTATAACCTATTGATATATATAAAGTACATACTATAGATTCTATTTATATAAAACTGTAGAAAATACAAACTAATCTATAATGACAGAAGGAAGATTAGTGGTTGTCCAGGGTAGGGTAGCAGAAGCAAGGAGGGGAGAAAAGACAGAATTTCATAGGGGTACAAGGAAACTTTTGGGGGTGATAAATATATTTGTTATCTTGATTGTGTTGGTTTCATTGGTGTATACATATGTCAAACTCATCAAATTGTATAGTTTAAGTAGGTACAGTTCATTGCATGTCAATTATACCTCAATTTTAAAATGAAATGAAAAAATACAATGAGTTACCACTATACACCCACTAAAATGGCTAAAGTTAAAAGACTTTGCCCAGTGCTGATGAAGCAGGAACTCTCATACACTATTGATTGGAATGCAAAAGGGTACAATGACTTTGGAAAATAGATTGGTACTTTCTTGAAAACTTAAAATACATTTTCCAAATATCTCAGCCATTCCACTCCTACATTATTACTCAAGAAATATGGGAATATGTCTACACAAAGACTTGTAAAGGCATATTCATAGCAGCTTTATTAATTATAGCCCAAACCTAGAAATAGTCCAAATGTCCATCAATAAGTGAATGGATAAATATGTTTGGTAGATCTGTTAAATGTAATATATTATTCAACAATAAAAAGATTGATACACAAACAACATATATAAATCTCAAAATGATCACACTTACTGCAAGTAGCCAGACATCCCCCAAAAGAAGAATACATGATGTATGATTCCATTTACATAAAATTCCAGAAAATGCAGACTAACCTATCAGAAAGCAAATCAGGAGTTATCTGGGGTTGGGGGTAGAAGAAAGGATAAATTTAAAAGGGGCAGGAGGAAGCTTTTGGGATTGATGAAATGTTTGTTGGTTGGATTTTGATAATGGTTTCATAGATGTATGTCAAAACTTACCAAATGTGGAAGGTGAGGTTGCATTGAGCTATGATTGTGCCACTGTAGTCCAGCCTGGGTGGCAGAGCAAGACCCTCCCTGTCTCAAAAACAAACAAACAAACAAAAACTTAGCAAATTGTGCACTACACACACACACACACACACACACACTCATATGTAGTTTGTCATCAATTAAACTTCAGTAAATCTGCAAACAAACAAAAATAGTACTGGAATACGATGGTTACTAAATGCTATCAATTAGTACTTTGGTGAGGGGGAGGCTATGGGTATTAACCATCAATTGAAAGCAAAGTATGAAAGCTAGACGGCCTCTTTGGCAGCACTCATCTCTCATAGCCTGGAGGCAGAAAATGCTGAGGATCAGATTCAGCTTTTATTACAAGAGTAGTGAACAAGCTCTAGAAATATATGATTCTCAACTCAGGCAAGTTGGCTTCATCAAGGCCAGGAAGGGCATTGATGGGAAGGACTGTGATCCTAAGACTTGGAATGGGTCCTCTTGGTTAATACACTGAAAATCTTGAATCACAATTCCAGGGATTTCTCTGGACTGGCACAAGCAGCCTTCTCCTCTTCCTCCCTTAAAGGTTAGCTCTACCCATTTCCTGGAAGATGATGCCAAGTCCTCTGTTTTGCAAGATAAATGCCACTCTCCCACCCACCCACCTCTGTCTAGGATACACACCTGATATACTTTGGATGTCTGTCCCCACCCAAATCTTATATTAGAAAATCCCCAATGTTGGAGGTAGGCCATGGTCAGAGGTGATTGGATCATGGGGGTAGATTTCTCATGAATGGCTTAGCACCACCCTCTTGGTACTGTCATCACAATAGTGAGTGAGTTCTTGTGAGATCTGGTGGTTTAAAAGCACCTCCCATTCGTTCATTTGCTCCTGCTCTGGCCATGTGACATGCCTGCTCCCCCTTCACATTCTGATATGGTTTTAAGTTTCCTGAGGCCTCCCCAGAAGCCAAGCACATATTAGCACTGCAATTCCTGTATAGCCTGCTATTGTGAACAGTGCTGCAATAAACATATGTGTGCCTGTCTTTATAATAGAATGATTTATAATCCTTTGGGTATATATCTAGTAATGGGATTGCTGGGCCAAATGTTATTTCTATTTCTAGATCCTTGAGGAATCACCACACTGTCTTCCACAATGGTGGAACTAATTTACACTCCCACCAACAATGTAGAAGCATTCCTATTTCTCCACATCCTCTCCAGTATCTGTTGTCTCCTGATTTTTTAATGATTGCCATTCTAACTGGCATGAAATGGTATCTCAACGTGGCTTTGATTTGCATTTCTCTAATGATCAGTGACAATGAGCTTTTCTTCATATGTTTGTTAGCTGCATAAATGTCTTCTTTTGAGAAGTATCTGTTCATATCTTGTCCACTTTTTGATGGGGTCGTTTTTTTCTTGTAAATTGGTTTCAGTTCTTTGTAGATTCCTAATATTAGCTCTTTGTCAGATGCATAGATTGCAAAAATTTTTCCCATTCTGTTGGCTGCCTGACTGCTCTCATAGTAGTTTCTTTGGCTGTGCAGAAGCTCTTTAGTTTAATTAGATCTCATTTGTCTATTTTGGTTCTGTTGCCATTGCTTTCTTATTTCATTGAGTTGATCTTCAATCTTTTATTTCCTTTCTTCTGCTTGATTGATTCAGCTATCGAAACTTTTTTCTTTTTTGAGATAGAGTTTCGCTCTTGTTACCCAGACTGGAGTGCAATGGCATGATCTTGGCTCACTGCAACCTCCGCCTCCTGGGTTCAAGCAATGCTCCCACCTCAGCCTCCCGAGCAGCTGAGACTACAGACATGCACCACCATGCCCAGCTAATTTTTGTATTTTTAGTAGAGACAGGGTTTCACTTTGTTGACCAGGATGGTCTCCATCTCTTGACCTCATGATCCACTCGCCTCAGCCTCCCAAAGTGCTGGGATTAGAGGTGTGAGCCACCGCGCCCGACCTCAGCTATTGAAACTTGTGTATGCTTCATGAAGTTCTTGTGCTGTGTTTTCCAGCTCCATCGAGGTGTTTATGTTCTTCTCTATGATGGTTATTCTAGTTAGCACTTCATCTAACCTTTTTTCAAGGTTTTCTTGCATTGGGTTAGACCGTGCTCCTTTAGCTCAGAGAAGTTTCTTATTACCCACCCTCTGAAACCTGCTTTGTCAATTCACCAAACTCATTCTCCATCCAGTTTTGTTTCTTGCTGGTGAGGAGTTGTGATCCATTGGAGAAGAAGAGTTCTGGTTTTTGGAGTTCTCAGCCTTTTCACACTGGTTTCTTCCCATTTTCGTGGATTTATCTATCTTTGTCTTTGAAGTTGGTGACCTTTAGATGGGGTCTCTAAGTGGATGTCCTTTCTGTTGATGTTGAAACTATTTCTTTCTGTTAGTTTTCCTTCTGACGGGCCCCTCTGCTGCAGGTCTGCTGGAGGTTTGCTCCAGACCCTGCTTGTCTGGGAATCACCTGCAGGGGCTGCAGAACAGCAAATATTGCTGCCTGTTCCTTCCTCTGGTAGCTTCGTCCCTGAAGGGTACCCACTAGATTCCAGCCAAAGCTCTCCTGTATAAGGTGTCTGTCAGCCCCTGCTGGGAGGTATTTCCCAGTCAGGATACACAGGAGTCAGGGAGCCACTTGTGGAGGCAGTCTGTCCCTTATCGGAGTTCAAACACTGTGCTGGGAAATCCACTGCTCCCTTCAGAGCTGATGGGCAAGGATGTTTAAGTCTGCTAAAGCTGTACCCACAATTGCCCCTTTTCCCAGGTGCTCTGTCCCAGGAAGGTGGAAGTTTTATTTATAAGTCCCTGACAGGCTGCTGCCTTCTTTCAGAGATGCTCTGCCCAGCAAAGAAGGAGTCTAGTGACACAGTCTGCCTGAAGTGTCCTTGCTGAGCTGCCATGCCCTCCACCAGGTCACTGTGTAAACTTCCTGGTGACTTTGTTTACACAGATGAAGTTAAAACTGCCTACCCTAGCCTCAGCAATGGTGGATGCCCCTCCCCCAACCAAGCTTGACTATCTCAGGTCGAACTCAGACTGCTGTGCTGGCTGCGAGAATTTCAAGCCAGTGGATCTTAGCTTGCTAGTCTTTGTGGAGGTGGGACCCACCGAGCCAGATCACTTGGTTCCCTGGCTTTAGCCCCCTTTTTCAGGGGAATGAGTGGCTCTGTGACTCTGGCATTCCAGGCGCCACTGGATTATGAAAAACCAAACCAAACAAAAAAACTGCTGCAGCTAGCTCAGTGTCTTCCCAAATGACCACCCAGTTTTGTGCTGGAAACCCAGGGCATTGATGGTGTAAGCACCGGAGGGAATCTCCTGGTCTGCGGGTTGTGAAGTTGGTGAAAAAAGCGCAGTATCTGAGCCAGAGTGCCAGTAAAAGTCCCTAATGGCTTCCCTTGGCTAGAAGAGGGGTTCCTCCAGCCCCTTGTGCTTCCTGGGTGAGGCAACACCCCATCCTGCTTTGATTTGCCCTCCTTGGGCTGCACCCACTGTCTAACCAGTCTCAATGAGATGAACCAGGTACCTCAGTTGGAAATGCAGAGATCGCCCATCTTCTGCATTGCTCTAGCTGGGAGCTGTGTACCAGATCAGTTCCTATTTGGGCATCTTGCTGAAAAATCCCCACATTTCTTACCTCACAGTAAGTAAATGTCTCTGCTCTCTTTGCCCCAGCCTTATCCCTGGATAAGCCTTATCCATGAGATTTTTTTCCTACCCAAGTGAATGGAGTCAAGTAAAACAAACAAAAATCCAGGCTAGGTACAGAATGACTCCATTTGAAATGATTAAAGTAGCGCTATGGCCGGGCGCGGTGGCTCAAGCCTGTAATCCCAGCACTTTGGGAGGCCGAGGCGGGTAGATCACGAGGTCAAGAGATCAAGACCATCCTGGTCAACATGGTGAAACCCCGTCTCTACTAAAGATACAAAAAGTTAGCTGGGCATGGTGGCACGTGCCTGTAATCCCAGCTACTCAGGAGGTGAGGCAGGAGAATTGCCTGAACCCAGGAGGCAGAGGTTGCGGTGAGCCAAGATCGCACCACTGCACTCCAGCCTGGGTAACAAGAGCCAAACTCCGTCTCAAAAAAAAAAAAAAAAAAGTAGCGCTATGGTCTGAATTGTGTCCCTCCATCCCCTGCAAATTTGTATGTTGAAATATTAACATACTAATGATGATGGTATTAGGGAGTTGAGTCTTTGAAAGGTGACTAGGTCAAGAAGGTGAAGGCCTCATGAGTGGGATTAGTAGAGACACAGCCCCAAGAGTTTCCCTTGCTTCTTCTACCATGCAAGGACAATGAGAAGGTGCCATCTACAAACTAGAAGTGGGTCCTCACCTCTACAACAACCTCACCTCACCAGACACCAGGTCTGCCAGCACTTCGATCTTTGACTTCCCAGGTGTCAGAACTGTGGGAAATAAATTTCTGCTGTCTATAAGCTATTATTGTATTTTGGTATCTATAGCAGCCTGAATGGATGAATACAAACAGGGAGAGAGGAACTATTTCAATAGGGTCAGGGAAACTATTGCAATAAGGAGAATGATTCAAAGCTAAGATCTGCAATCATCTCAAAGATCAGATAGCAATGAGCTTTTCTCTTTTTCTGTTACAGGAAGGAATAAACAGGCCTAGAAAAAACTAGTGTGGAGGAGAGGAGCAGGTGACATTAATGGGACAGTTGAGCATGGTATGTCCTCCTTGGTGGCTTATCAATTTTCAGGAGGGGTGGTTAGGGAGGGACTATTCCACAGTCCAGTGCTGGCCTAGGCTGAGGGTGGATCAAAGTCCAGTGGCCTATGGGGAAGGGAGAAGTATAAAATTGGGTCAAGTTGAAAGGCATTTTGCTCAGATTAGTCTATGGGGACAAACAGTTCAACTAAGAACTTTGAGGCAAAGAATGGAATTTGTAGGGTCAGAGTCTGGCTTTATCATAGGTAAAGGAAGGGATTATTCACAGTTTTGGTGGTTCTTTGCAATAAGCCATTTCTGGAAATGCAACGAGAAGGAGGGATTTCTTTTTTCTTTTTCTTTTTTTTTTTTTTTTTTTTGAGACGGAGTCTCACTCTATCATCAGGCTAATGCAACGAGAGGGAGGGATTTCTTTTTCATTTTTCTTTTTCTTTTTTTTTTTTTTTTTTGAGGCGGAGTCTCGCTCTATCATCAGGCTAGAGTGCAGTGCCATGATTTTGGCTCACAGCAACCTCTGCCTCCTGGGTTTTTAAGCATTTCTCCTGCCTCAAATAGCTGGGACTACAGGTACGTGCCACCACGCCCAGCTAATTTTTGTATTTTTTTAGTAGAGATGGAGTTTCACTGTGTTGGCCAGGATGGTCTTGATTTCTTGACCTTGTGGTCCACCCACCTCGGCCTCCCAAAGTGCCGGGATTACAGGCATGAGCCACTGTGCCCAGCCGAGGAGGGATTTCCTGTCACTGTTTTCCAGAGTACATAGGGCTCAAGTAAATGTTAATACAGTGGTTCAGTGGCCAGGTACTTTATAAGACAGGGAGACAGGTTGGGGAGTGTTTTACATGTCATACTAACCTCTCTTACATTTAGCATGTCCTCAAAGGGACTATCCTCTCTGGCATTTGTGTGTAGGAGAATTACAAGTGTAAAGATATCTATTCCAGCCACATATCTGAATTAGAAGCCATGATCACAGTGCATCAAGTCAACCTGAAGGGTCTTAGCTACCAAGTTATATTTAACTCCCCACCTCACTGGTTACCTTGCCCAGCCCCCAAGTTGAATTCAGGTGCCTCTTCTCCTTACTGGACCAGTTATAATAGTAACTTAAGCACCTGTATTCAATGAAACCATGAAACTTTTCCCATAGGCTTTCCCGTAGGCATCCAGAAATTTCAATAGGGGGGTAGGGTGTGTGGTCCTTCAGGAATAGAGAGAATATGGCTTCATCCTAAGGGCTTTTCTCCTTTAAACAACTTGGATATGTGTAAAACAAGAAAGAGGCAGGAGATGCTGCAAGACACATCCATCCACAGTTTTTGGTCCTCTCAAAGGTGGGTACCAGGCAGGAAGATCATTGCTGATAAATCTATTTTGGCTTTGAAAACCCCCTAATCCAACAATCATAGTCACACAGTTTTCCAAGTGGGGCCAAGGGGTGTGCACCCCTTGGCTGCCCTGGACTTAACTGGCACTACAACAACCTTGTTTAGCAATAAGGGCTTTAGGGTGATGATGTTAGTGAAGTTTTTTTGATCCCCTTTCTCCTTTTATTCTTTCACTTCCCTAACTCCTCCCATATTTTGTGTAAATGCTAATTCCTTGATCAAATCCCTTATTCCTGTCATGTTTGTAGTAGCATTTTTTTTCATGGCTACATTCCATTGAGTTTACCTCATATTGACACCTTTTGCTACCAGAAGAGGCAGCAGAGACACAGAATCTTCTGGAATTTCTTCTCTGACTGGATTAAAAGGCAATAATGTTCCCATTGCCAAGGAAATTGACAGTCTATGGTAAAAGTTACTTATCACTTGTAGTCATTTGTTTGTTAACTAATGCCTAGACACAAGGTTTACTTACATTAAATCAAAGTGAAATGCCAGAGTATCCTTCCTTGGTTTACAGAGAATAGTATCAAGGACATAGAAATTCTGGGGTGAAATTATTATACATAACTTACTCACATCCTATCTTCTCTGGAAAGATCCAGAGGACACTCTCTTCATTAGGCTTTTTAAAAAGTCATTGGTGAGGGGAGATACTATCATTCCTGAAAGGCTCTACTGGCTATTATCATAGGTTAAGAATGATAGTAAAAGATACTCCCACTGAAATTGACTCCTGGGCATGGTGGCTCATGCTTGTAATCTCAGCAGTTTGGGAGGCTGAGGCAGGCAGATCACCTGAGGTCGAGCTTTCGAGATCAGCCTGACCAATGTGGAGAACACCATCTCTACTTAAAATACAAAATTAGTGGGGCGTGGTGGCGCATACCTGTAATCCCAGCTACTCGGGAGGCTGAGGCAGGAGAATCGCTTGAACCCAGGAGGCGGGGTTTGCAGTGAGCCAAGATCACACCACTGCACTCCAGCCTGAACAAGAGCAAAACTCCATCTCAAAAAAAAGAAACTGGTTCCTTAAATTCAATGGAGATTATGGGAGTTAGGATGGTTAAGGCACAAGTGAAAGGATTTAGCATCCAGAAACAGAGATTGGTTACGATAATTGACAGCAGAGCAAGTAGTAATCAAAATGGTTTCACTTACAGACATCTTTAGGGCTAGTTAACTGAACTGGTGCCCCTAGAACTGAAATACAGAAGCAGGTTATTAAACTCTTCTTAATTTACATATGAAGAAACCAAATTATAGGTCTAATGAAGAAAAGTCTTTCCTTATAAGAGCCACAGCTTCTTATCCAGTTTTGAGATTTAAATCAGCTTAGATCATTAACATTTAATTATCAATGTATTAATAAAATAAAATTTAGGGTTACTATTTTATTATGTTTTATTCTGAGAGGTTGTGAAATTTTTTGAGACGGAGTTTCGCTCATTACCCAGGCTGGAGTGCAATGGCTCGATCTCGGCTCACCACAACCTCTGCCTCCTGGGTTCAGGCAATTCTCCTGCCTCAGCCTCCTGAGTAGCTGGGACTATAGGCGCACGCCACCATGCCCAGCTAATTTTTTGTATTTTTAGTAGAGACAGGGTTTCACCTTGTTGACCAGGATGGTCTAGATCTCTTGACCTCCTGATTCACCCGCCTCAGCCTCCCAAAGTCCTGGGATTATAGGCATGAGCCACCATGCCCGGCCTGACATTTTCTATTTGTACCTTCTTGACTCCTTTATAACACTCAAGTACTTTGAAAATCAGTTTTCTGATCAAATCTTCTCTCCTCCAAAAACTACAATGAAGAGTACAGATTTATGGACAATAACTGTGATAGCAAAATGTTTTTAATAAACATCAATGAAAATACAGTTAAAAGTTCAAAAAATTTCTGTGACAAGCCAATAAACTGTTACGAATTTTATAGCTAACACTGGTGTTCCTGAAATTTGAAACACAGTACTTTTCAAGAACTGTGGAAAAGCTTGATTATGACAAAAATAACAGGCAGTGTTGTATTTTTGGTTTCTCTGGAAACTTAAACTCTGAATAGCAAGATTACAGCAAATGTAGCTCAGGATATTCTGAAAAATATAGCCCAAGGAAATGGCCAGTTAAAATGTGAATACATTTTAATTCCACCTTTCCAGTGGAGAAAATCACTAGACTAAAAGAGATCCAAGGGTTGGATGAGTAACCATAGTTGAAAATGCTGATACAAATGTTAGCAATAATAACTTGAGGTGAAATAGAGCCCAGTAACTGATGTATTGAAAGTATGTTCGGGTCTGACTAGAATACAGCAATAAAAGTTGAGAGATTAATAAAGGGCAAAAGAAAGAAACTTTAGATAAATAAAGAGACTGAGAAAGAACTGACGATTCAAAAACATACTTCACTGTGATGCAAGCAAATTAAGGAGAAGGATGAAAAATACAAGGTGAATTCTTTCACAATAGCAGGAAAATTCTGACAGAGGATTTCTTGGTAGAATGTGTAGATGAACTAGAACAGGTATGAAGTTCTGAAAGAAGAAACATTTGCATAAATGTGACTTACTTATCCAGCCACACTAACTCTATTTAAAAGCAATACAATTTCCAAAACTTTCTTGCTCAAAGCTCAAATTTACACAATGCCACCTCTAAGAGGCAGGATGCTAGCCTAAACTAAAATGTCCCTTATGTCTGTTCTTACTACCTTCTTCTCTGGCTTGAGAAATGTTTTGATTTGTAAAAGTACTGGCCAAGACAACAAAATAAAGACATGAATCATGTCACAATAGAATTTTATATATGTTTACTTATGTTTATTAATGCATCATCTGCCTTAATAATTTCAGTTAAAAAATGATGGTATGACGGTTTAAAGCTGGTTCAATCATTATTTTATAAGCTTATTTATCACGAGTGAAAACAGAAGACTATTAAAAATAGCTAAAAAGGGAACATGTGTCATAGTGTTGAATGCTTCTGTAACTGTTGGTAAGGCTTGTTATCTAAGTCTGATGCAGAATTCTTAATGGCACTGAAACAGTTCTTTTCTCAGCCACATGGTATCCACTGGTGCTACGAGTCTGGAATAGACTGGCTATGGGTACCACTTCTTGTCTTCAGCTGTGACTGTGCAATATCAGCAAGCGCACTTTGTATCTTTTCCAGAAGCATGTCTCCTCGATAAACAACATCTTCCAGACATGTAGCAGCTTCATGGTTTTCTTCTTCTAGCTTATATAAGCTAGCAGCCTTTATAAGACAGAAATTTTGAAATCTTTAGAGTTAACGAGGGAAGCTGTCACAGAGGTACTTATTTTTAAATCTGGATGACTTTGCAATTATTGTGTTTTTCAGCAAAGAAATTCTAAAAATCAGATAACTTCTAAGAATTTTCCTCATTTGAATTATTAAAAAGAATGAATTTTCAATTAGAAATCTCTAGATATCTGTAAGTGACTCCCTTCCACACTACATTTGGGCACCATTGTTCTACTCCACATCTAGAATGCCACCCTCCTCTCATTCTTCACTAGGAAAAGAGACACAATTGAGGAAATAAGAGGTTTCCTTATAATGGAAAATTGAATATTATAACAAAAGGTGCTATGATTTGAATGTGTCCCCTCCAAAATTCATACGTTATGTGTCCCCTCCAAAATTCATACGTTAAAATCTAATCCCCAATGTGAAGGTATTAAGGAAAGGGCCTTTAAGAGGATATTAAGTCATGAAGGCAAAGCTCTCATAGAATTAGTGCCCTCATAAAATGGCTTGAGGTTGAAGAGGGAATTCTTGCTCTTTTGTCCTTCTGCCTTCTGCCATGTGAGGAAATAGAAAGAAGGCCCTCAACATGGCCTTAAACATGGCCCTAAACATAGCACTGTGTTAAATAAAAATGTCTTACTCATGCACAATGAGTAATAAATGTCTTGATCTTGGACCTCCCAGCCTACAGAAACTGTGAGAAAATAAATTTCTGTTCTTTATAAATTATTGTCTCAGGTATTCTGTTACAGCAGCACAAATGGACACAGACAAAAGGTATTAAACCTAGCTCCTTTAATTCAAAATTCTCTATTACTGGTAAAATTCTCAAAGGAATAAAGACTTACCTGTAAAGCAGCTGTAGACTCTTCACTGGGTAGGGAATCTATCAAAACATCAATGTCTTTTGCTGTTCGTGCAATCAGTGCTGCAAAAAGCTGGGCATACTCTAGAGAAAGATAATGCTAGATCAGGTCATTAGAAAACCTCAAGTTTTCAGAACAAATTTTAAGTTAGTGAAACTGGAAACTTCACATAGCTTTTTCTGCACTAGGATTCTAATGATTAAAATATACACAAATCCTATTACACATTTAGCTCAAATTGGGAATTAAGCATAATTTTTGGAAACAAAATAAGCCGAATTGCTCAATAAATCTAATTTGAAAGGATTACAATAAATGTGAGAGTCAAAGAGAAGCTAAGAAAACCAGTTTACCTTCTGTAGGATTAGCTGGCTGGTCTTTGTTAATTGCTGTCTGAATATTACTAAAAGACGCAGGAGGACCACACTGCTGCAATACTCCAATGGCATTACAAAACTGATCTGCAAGCTTAGGCCAAAGAAAACATGTCAAGGTTAGGAAGGACTTATCAATTTTAAGGACTTTATTGATAACAGCAACAACAATAAATTTCTTTAATCATAATCTCTGAGTAAGGGAATAAAACAGAAAGGAATAATTGCTGATAAAATAAGCCAGTTACTAATAACGTTAATTAAACATTTTAATTCTGCAAAGAAACTAAGTTTGGTATCAACCCAGTTGAAACAGTTGAAATAAAAATAATATTTCTTTTCTTTTGATAGTAAAATGGTAAGAGAACACTAGCCAATATTTATTATAAGCCAAAAGTAAAGACTTTTGGGGAACAGTGATGGAAAAGAGCAGTGATGGAAATCTGACTTGCAAATATCTACCCATGGCATTGCGTCAAATGAAAATTTATTATTCATGTACAAAGTATATAATTCCTTTTCTGAAACTGGAGTAGTTACAAGCATAAAGAAATAGTGGGGAAAAGGCTGCTCAGAAAAGCACCTTAAGTAATCAGAAACATATTTGTTCAAGACTCAAGTTTTAAACTCTTGTGCGCTAAAAGTACTCCTTAAGTACTTCTAAAGATTGAGAACAGCAATTCCTTATCATCTCCAAATTAAAAACGCCTATCCTCCCCACCAATTTCTCTCACCTAGTCTTGACCTCTCAAACCTCCTATTTCTAATAAGCATTTGCACTGGGTTTCTCTGCCATTGTTCAATTACAGAACTCAAAGGCAACTGTTTTCTCTGTTTAATTTGTATTGACAGTCTCTAAGTCAACCAGTCTAACCACAGATTCTTACTTTCCTTTGATCTTCAAATTCTACTAATACTTCTAATCTTTCTCTTTTCCTCTGTCTTGTTTTCCACTACTCCTTCATATTTACCTAGTTATAAAGTCACTCATGACTAAATGGCTTTGTCCAGGTTTTGCTAATTGTAATGGAGCAATAAGCGCTCAGCTGCTATACAAGTCTAGATCCTAATCCTAGTTCTATTAACTCAAGTAGCATTTATCATTTTTAAATTGGATATTCTCATATTACAACATTGTTGTGAGGAACAGACAAGACACAAAAATATTCAACACAGTGGTTATCTGTTCCATTCTTCAAAAGCTCTTAAGATCCATTTAGTCAACAAAAATTTATGGAAAATAACTATGACAAGTATTGTATATAAACACATAGTAAATGAGACATAGCTTCTGCACTCAGTTTTCAGAGGGTAGAACAACTGTTAAAAGTTATACAAATAATTAATTATGATTAGAATAAATGCTTAAGAAGATTCTCCCTATTTTGGTTCACATCACTCCATATTCCAATTTACTTCAGAACCTGCAGTTGAAAACACTCAATTCATTGTAACTCCCTAATCACAAACTGTTTTTCCATCACTTAAATGTCTCCTGAATATACATTTTTTAACCTCCTGAAGGAGTATCTCTTTGAAAACATGATCGCGCTTATATACAGTAGGCACTCATACTAGTTATCCTAAATGCTTCTCTCCAAAATCCAATTATCAGTATGCTTAACCTAAAGTTAAGGCCATATTCACTCTGTTCTTACTATCCTTCTAGTTA